AGTTAGGTACAATTTGTTAACATTTTTACAAAATTTCAGTAAGTGACTTTTGGCAGGAATACTTATGACGATAAATAAATATGTTTTAATTCTTAATGATAAAACTACTTGTCGTTTTAATTTTGTGTACATATAAAATAAATCTCCATATCGTGGTATAGCGGCAGTGTACTAACATGGGGTTCTGTCAGATTTTAATTATCCTGCATAAGAACATTTAATTCCATAAGATATACTTGCTTATTTATAAGTATAAAAACACAGTTTCCTTTTTAATAATTACAAATTTAATAGTTTTAATTAATTTATACAATAAGTTAATAAATTGTATCCCTTAAATGGGTGAACTGCTATAAAAATATTTTAATTCATTTTTAAATAAAATATTATTATTCAGGTTTAACATAGTTGTATACATTTTAATAAACCGAAAATTAACCCTGGCTAAAAGTACAATTTTATTAAATTATTTCATTTGACCTGTGTGACCAGTGGGTCAATATAAACTTTAATGAAAAGCCTTCGTGTACATTAAAATAATTCCGAAAACAAAATGAAAATTTAGGGACAAGTTGAATATAAATTGAGGCATTTGCAATTAAAACTGTTCATTTCACCTCAGTCATCATTAGTCGATTCGCTGGCATGTGTTTAGGAGAACTTTAGTAATTTGCTAATAAAGCAATCTGTAATGTTTGGAACTTGTCCACTTCTGTAAACTAAACTAACCAGGATTAGATTGTTTGTAAACCCCATGCACTTTAATCAGGTAGCATTAGGTATGCTCGTATAAACTGGTTATTTAAAAATTTTGCTTTGTGAGTATAAAATTTCAATAATGCATATGTTTTTGTCATATACCTAAACAAAATGCCAATTAAAAGAATTTATGAAATAAATAATCATTTTAAGTATAATAATAATATTATGTATTATTATTATGTATTATTTAAGCATAATAATAATATTATGTATACCTTAGTTATAAAAAATGGCGAATGCACCGGGATAGTAGGTATGTAGAAATAAATGTTTGCCCAGAAAAAATGGAAAAAATTCATGGGTTACTTAAAAGACATTTACAAGTAATACAAAGATTGACCGTCTGTCCAACAAAAAACTAATTCTAAAATGTAGGGTTTTAAAATTATAATTATAAAGGTAATAAATCGAAATGTATTTTTTGAAAATGAATTAACAATTAACAGTTTTTCACAGTAAAAGTAAGGAAAATGTTTTTGAGCACTTTACAGTGGAATCTAAGCCCGAATTTAAGTTATAGTTTACTGCCGGCGAAATTTAAAGGTCAGTATAATGTTCATATAAACTTTTTAAATATTAGCGTTGATAAACTATTTAATACTTTTGTATTTTTGTATTGAGATAATAAAATAATTTTCACATTTAGTATTATTTGCACTTTATTTTAACGATTGGATGACATTTGACAACTGTCAACTAAATTAAAACTAACTTCAGCCAAAGATTATCTTTGACTTCAGCCACAACTTTTCAATGAGTATTTAAAAGGTCACTTAGTGTCATGGAAACATGTACGATAATGGGCGTTTTAAACGTGGAAGAAAAAAAAATTATTTAAATTATGTTTTAAAAATAAAATTTGTCCTCTAGTACACTTTACAGCGATTTTTTAACGATTAAATTAATATAAGGAATAAAGACCCTAATCTGAAATCACAAAGTTGCATTATAACTAGAGGCCGGGGTTTGGATAAAATACCTTTTGTTGTTTTGTTAGGTTTTTTGGATATTTTCTTAACCGTTCTATAAAAGTGGAGTTGTCTGACCAAGTTTTGTTTTACCCAAAATAACTTTTTAATTTGTTTTACATATTTTACTTTTTTGCACCCAAATTGTCTTTTTTACCCAAAAGGTACTTTTTACGATTATATTGCCTAGTTTACTTTTTCACTAAAATTGCGTTTTAAAATTATATTAAAATTCTTTGACTGGTATGTGTTTACGTTACCCCCTGTAAATTAAGAATGTTTTGACTGACAAACGTACTAGCTTCACTTCTAAAAACTTGAAGCAATATTTTGGATGTAATTTAGGGGTCCTATAATATTTTTTGTTATTTTGTATTATTTGTGTTTTAATATTTTTCTATTATAAACTTTACAAAAATAATAATTATTAAGTACCTATAATTATTATTCCCAATAACTTAAATTAAATCCTTTATTGCCCAAGAGATTTAGCCATTTACAGAGAAATTATAATGTAAAAAATGCAAATTTAACATATTAACAAATTTTAATTTTTAGTCAACTAATATAGTTGTTTTTATTTTTTATAACCTAAAAGTCCGGGCCTTAGTTATAACACATTTTGATTTTAGTGTACAATCACTAATCAATAGGTACTTTGTATTACAATCTTAATGCTATAACTTTTAAGATAAATTCATGAGAAAAAATTGAACCTTCACTTCGCCAAAGTTTTTGTTTTGAGTGCGTTCCACCAACTTTAAATATTGACACTGTCGGTCCGACAGAGAGCTGTTTCGACCTATATTGTGTCTCACAGTGTCGGGGGTGGAATTAAAATAAACATTCCTAATAATAATAAAGTTTGACACAGCGTTGTCGAGTTTTTAACCTTAAATGCTTAATAATTAAGAAGTACTGGTTGATAAAAAGTTATAATTTTTTTATAGTTAAAATTATAATTTAGTAGAGGAAGTAAGGGTATTTTGAAATAGTAGTTTAAAAAAAATAGCAAAAAATTTAAATTTAAATTATTTCGATTAAAATAAATAACATGTCCTACATCTACATACTATGCCATACGAATTTTAAACTTTTTAAAATACTTTAAAAGGATTTTTTCACTAATGAAAAAAAAAAGTGTAAAAAAGCTCTGTTTACGTAACATGTTAATGTGGAATACCACCAATTTGGAATATTTAAAAATAGCAGCAAATTTTTTTTATTAAAAAGGTTAATGAAACATTTTTAAAAGGTAACCAAATATTAATTAAAAGAGAAAATTGGGTTGATTATCAAATATTACAAAAAAATAATTTGATTTGGAATATTTCAAATTTGCATTATTAAATAATAATAAATTTTATAGTATTCCAAATTAGCAATATAAAGAACTACGCCATAATACGTAAAAAAAATAGATGCTTTAACATTTCGAAAAAGTACAATTAACAACTAAAAATATAAGCCTTTACTTACCTGAGAATCCAATTAAAGTTAATTTAAAGATAAAAATCGAAGCTATGATTGCCGATTTAATTTCCACTAATTAATTTTTCACATATGTTTGTAGTTTATATCATATTTAACAAGATGGCGCTAAGCATAGCCTCAATAATTAAGTATTCCAAATTACCAACAAGTACCCCCACTTCCTCTATTAATATTGTATGATAGGATGTTGGTGCGCCATTTTTGGAACACCCGGTTTATACAGCAAAATTAAAAAAATAGATAAAGAATAAGAAATGACGGCAGGAAACAATATTTCAATAGTTATTTATGTTATTAGGTTTAGAGGTGAGTCTTTTTGTGCTGAACTCAAAGTTTGAAAGCCGAGGGCAACAATTGAGCAAAGCACAAAAAAACTTCTTGGCCGAATGAAATGCAATATTTTATCTTTAGGGCAAAATTTTATTTGTTAAGGTATAAAGTGAGATTATCTAGATCTAACAGATTTCGAATTGTTTTATTGGTTCAAACTAGGAAATAATTTACTACTTAATAGTTTACTTCCTATGCTTTTTAACTTCCTAGGGCATAATCAATCACTTTATTAACAACAACAATAACGTTTAAATTATAGACCGATTGAAGATACAATTTCTTATATTCTTGTTTTTATAATAAATGAAATTGGGTTTAAAACTTTTTTATAATAATTTTTCCATTTTATTATTAATAAATATGGTAAAAAGTTTATGTCTCGATTAATATATTTATAAACCAAACATCGGATAAAAAATAAAAAAAGCATATTTTTTGATTCAATAGTATGATAATTATCATATGCTTAATTATAATTTTTATATTATTACAATTACCTATAAATAAAAACACTTTATATTAATACTAGTTCAAAAGTTAAATTATTATTAACCTCAGCACAAAATATCATCATGTCACCCAACCTTAAAATAATGTGACAGCATTTGCTTGATAAAACCCGGCGAATAAAGCTTATTAATTTTTTCGCACACAATCTACTGTAAAATGTATATATACTATAAGCTTTCTTTGCCTGATCTATAATGTACTATAACCGGAATGATGACATTTATACATTGAAATCAACGAATTCGCTTTTTAATTTCATTTTAAATTCTTTTTTAATTAAAATGTTGAATAAAACATGGAATATGAAAGGGTAAAACAGATTATTTTCTTTTAAAAATTATTAATTAATTATTTCACCATTTTTATAAAGTTATAAACTGTTAATTGAATATAAATATAAAAAAATAGAATACTGGTAAATTTGGTATATAAATTTAAAAATGTGTCAATACATTAAAAACTTATAGACTTATGGACACAAATTTTTACATAATAAAAATATTTTCATCTTATATAATGAACTATTTTTTTGATAAAATTGTTCAATATTTAAATGTAAATGTTAAGACTAGGAAAAAAGTTTTTTGATCTAATTTTTTATTTAATATTGTGAAATTTTGTTTTAAAAGACTTAAAAGGAAATAAACAAATCGTGGGGATTTTTCGGTTTAAATCTTTTTGGAGAATAAAACTTTGTCTCATTTGATTACTTTGTTCTAATAACTTATTTAAACCTAAACACAGGTATCCGGCCAATTGTTACGAATGTGGGCGTGCCAGTACATGTGGACGTATTTGAAATAATTTATTTAACAAAACTTCAAACAAAACAAACAAACCAATTTTATTAAATAGGTTTTAAATTTAAAAAAATCTTACCAGAAAGTGAGATCAGAGCGGCTATGCCGTGAAAGAAACAGCTGATAGACGACGATGTTCAAATGTTATAACGAAGTTGTCGATAATCAAGCGTTAAATTTTCGCGCGCGCGAGAAAAACAGACAACACCAGTACGGGTTGTCGTCAATGACTACGAAGCGCTTCAATTCTGGACCGCATTCGAAGCTGCCAGCTGCGGACGGAGCTTGCGCGAGCTTTTGCAGTAGAGGTGAGCGCGAAGTGTTTCTTCTTCGCACATGTGTTACCGAGCGGCGGCAATTAGGGTAGGGCGGTGAAAGAGTGCCTGCATGGTATACAGTATGGCCTAAATAGGCATCCCACTTTCATTACCGAAAAAGCTTCAAATTTAGTACATTAATAATAAATTACAGTTTTAAAAGTGCCATCTTTAAAAACTGTACCGCAATAATACATATTATATTAAGGAACTAATGTCATAAGACGCCATTTTCTCGCACGAGAATTTGTTTATAAAACGAGCAACAAAGGAGTAAGTTTTTTTAATGCACGAAGGCAAGAAAACCTCTTATGAGTTTTTTGTACTATTTTTCCATTTGCCAAAATTTTGAGTAAAAATATTAATCATATTAGGGTGATTCTCCAGAACGGAGCAAATATGCTGAAACTCTTAAATAAAATATACTAATGAAAGTAGAAAGAAGTTTATTTTATTAATTTGAATTTGCTTAAACGCTTTAAAGTCAACTCCATGGACTGTCACCACCTAGCGTAGGGACAACAAATCATCCATATACTATTAGACTAGATGCAATTGTGAAATAATTCATTCATATTGCATTTCCTCTAACTTGGATTGTATAAAAAAACACAACCAAAAGCAAACTTATGGATATTTTAACCCAAAATGTCGAATAAAGCATGATACACCATTTTACAGCCAAGTTCTTTGCTGTCTTTTAACATATGATAAATCCCCTGTATAAAACGTATTTTAGTAATGTTTGAAGACTTCGTCGTTTGAGTGATTTAGTGTTGATTTGTGTAAGCAAGGCAAAGGGGGTGTAATATTTAATAAAAATTTATAAATAACAATTATTTGCGAAAAAACGGGTAAGTATTTTTATTAAAGATCAACTCCATGTCTTTAATAACAAAAGGATTTAAATACAATTGAAATTTAAACTTTCTCCAGGTAAAATAACCAAATATGCTTTGCTTAAATTACAGTTAACTAAAGATACATTATGTACCATTTTCTATAAAGTTTGTTACTTTAACTATAAAAACATCAACTCCATGGACATCAACTCCATGGACTTAAAAGGTATGTTCATGGAGTTGTTTACTTTTTTATTATTGCTCTAAACTCTTAGCTCATATAAGTTAAGGCATTATTATAATAAATTAAATTAAATTTTTCTTTAAAAAAATTCTCTAATAGTATTATTATTATAACTATATACAGCATATACATATAGGGATGAAATGGATAGTTGTTTGGCCAGACACCGGATCCCAAATATCCGGCAAGCATCGAAGCCGGATAGCCGGATATCCGGCGGCCGGATATTCGGATATCCGGGAGTTGAAAGATAGAATTTTGTTTCCTTTATTTACATTTTTTAAGAATAATATTATTCTATTTAAATAAAAGTATTAATAGTATATTAAAGTACAAGTGGCGAAAGACACTGTTTTCCCGCACGAGTCCGAAATTACGGCACGAGCCGCGAAGCGTGCGAGTGCCGTAAAGGACGAGTGCGGAAATGTCTTTCGCTACGAGTGCTTTATACTATTTTTTCTATTTCCGTTAATTTCTATTAGTTAGTTATGGATAAGGAAATTTTTATGTTAAAAATCATTTGCAAACATTTGCTAAAAGATGGTTCTTTTCTGACATCTAATCAGATTCAGAAGATGATTTGCCGTTATCTTATCTAATTCAGAAATCAACAGAACAGGCAATACAAGGTTAGATTTATGTTGTTTTTATGTTATTGTGTCAACTCCATAGTTCAGAACGTCAACTCCATGGACTCATTTATTTTTTGTTAAATAATAGAAAAGTATTAAGTTTAATTTATAGCCGCCTTAAAATTACTTTATGTTATTAAGAAATACACATTGAGGTATTATTTTGCTAGTGTTTTATTAATCTTTGCTTTTTATTTTTTTACCACCCCAATTTATCCCCGTTTTGGATATTCACCCATTACGATTTAAGTATTTATTTTGCTTAAACCTTTAAAAATATGTGAAATTTTAAACCAAGCTGTCAACAGTTTACGCATACTTTAATTATAAATAATATCATTCTAAATATTTGATAGCATGTTTGTTTATTTGTTAACTGATTTTGGATACCGATTAAAATAAATAGATTTATTAACTTTAGAAGCAAATTTTGAGTTAATATTTTTATAAAGTCTGTCAAATGTGGCTATTGCAGGGTCTTTCTTGTCACTATTTTATTAATGAAACAGATCATTAACTACTTCTTAACCTAAACCCTCAAACAAACCTGTGAAGTTAATAATAATATTTCGGTATACACATGGCTCTACTGAATAGGTTTCTAGGACTAAATGATAGAATAATAAAGTTAAACTATATCTTTATTAAATAGTGTTGGGTTTTTATATCCATCAAATTAATAATATTTTACAACAGTCTGCTGTTCCTTTGAAGTTGCTTTTTACAGAGCAGGGCTGTCACTTCATTTGGCATTTTTGATTTTTGAACCATTTTGATGATTTGAATAGTGGCCCAGTACAATTCTTCTGTGGTGAGTGGACCTATTCTTTTCTGGCCTGCAGCGTTTTTTATAAATTTTCTGAATAGTGATAATACTCGGACCATTCTTGTAAAAAAGTAAAACCATCTTGTTTCAAGTTTGTCGCCACTTGTAAGCATCGTTTCTCCTCCATCTGTGTTTGTGGACTACTGTTATTTCTTGGACAGTGTGATTTGTTTGGAAGCCAGATTGGCCCATTCCACCAAAGCGTCATTTCCTTTATCTTGAATGGACATATTCCCCTCGATATGGCTTCCGCAGGGTTGTCTGATGTTCCAACATGTCCCCACTGTTGTACGGGAATCTTGGAGGTGATTTCGCTGACTCTGTTGGCGACAAAGGTTTTCCACCTGGAGGGATCTGCTTCGCAGAATCCATGTAACTCAAGGTTTCCATTACCTCATTTCATTTCTTCAACTTTTTCTATATTATTGTACAATCTCATCCAATTCTTGTGCAGGTGCAGGAAGAGGATCATCCCACTTTATTTCTTGTGTTCATAGTTCCTGGACAAGTATTTTATCAGGTGCAAGCCATCCCAATGTATCAAATATTTTTGCTACTTCAGAGATAACTTTTCGCTTGGTAAATTCTGTTTCTTTTCGACAATTTACATTAAAACGGAATGTATCATTTGAGGACATATATATTATTATTATTATTATAATATTAGATATAATGTGTTTTACTGGGGCTGCCTTAAACAAAAAAAGATAGTAGAAAACTTATTATGAGCATAAAAAGGATTATAATTACCTTTAAACAGCAGAGAATTAGATAAACTTGTTATGTTTTGAATGACTTTGTCGCCATATGTTTTCGTTTGGCCCAATAAATTACATATAAGCCACTATATTGCCTTATGTGGTAATAAATAAATCTTGCTTTATCTTATATTTTATATTTTAATATCAGTCGTTGACGACTGATTTAAAAAATGAATAAAAATAGACAGTATTTTTGTTTGTAAATATATGTGAAAAAATAAATTCAGAAGGTAAACATACCTATAACAAAGATATAATTAAAAAATAAAAAAATTTTAAAGATAAAATTACTATCATGTTAATTATATCAAATATCTTTGCTGTATACTCGAAATCAATTGGCTTATAACTTTCTTTAGTTTTATTGTAAAATAATTACCCCTAACATCAAACTTGGGTGAAAATATTTATTGTTTTATTTTTTTAAAGTAAAAAACATAAATGTTTACTTTTTAATATACGTAATACCTATATTATAGATAATTAAAAAAAATACCAGGTATTTAATAATTAATAAAGATTATAAAATACCTTCTAATGCAAATTTAGATACTTCGCAATTCTCTTCAAAATCAAGTTTTTGTCAATAATAAGGTTTAGTCAGTTAAATGTATTTATCTGTATATTTAATAATATATTTTAAAAATGTATCAATTTTATAATGTAATAAACACATATTTAAGTATATGGAAGATAAACTACAAACCTACTGTCATTTAAAATTTGCTATGTTGACAAATTGATTCAAAACGAAATGCGTAAAATTTACGCCGTAAATCATTTGTTATAAATAAATCGACGTTTCTGCATATGGCCCTTAAAGTTTTTAAGATAATTCATGTTAGGTATGTGTTTATATTTTATATACCTAATATAGGACTAAAAATGTTTTTTAAGCATCTGTCGTTTTTTAGTGCTTATATTTCAGAATATTTTGGCATAAACATATGGTCAGACTGTGTTCACAATTAATGGTTTTTTATCTTGCATATTATGATGCATACTTTAAGGTTTTTAGTACTTTAGTACAAAGCCCTAATTATGAGCTTTATATTTCTTAAAATTATCATGTCGTTGGGGGTGGAATTAAAATAATTATTAGAAACATTAGTTTTGGTGTGTTCTTGTGTTTATTTGTCAGGTAAAATATTGTTTTGTAAGCAGTTGATTAATGAACCGCAAGCAGTCGTTCGATTAGTCAGTCTTGATCGGTCGCCTGTGCTGAGAAGCCGTTCGATAAAAAAAAATTACTAAAAGTGAATTGGTGGTGTTATTGCCTCTCTTGCATTTTTCAGTTTTCTAATATCAGAAGTGAGATAGTGCCTGCCTAAAGTATAATGACAAATTATGAGTGCATCGGATCTTATTGGCGAGCTGCTAAAAGCCCTAAACTCGAACAAAGAGACACCTGAACAATTTGATTTGCCATTGGTTAAACCAGAACAAAGCGATGGCAAAAAGTGGGTGGTCAAACTGAGTTTTATTAAAAGTGAGTTCGATTGGAAGGAACACCAAATACTTTTAAGAATACAAAAATCGTTAACCGGTGTAGCCAACCTTTGTTTAGAGAACTGGAATCCTGATGTCAGGACCTGGGATGCATTTGTACGTAATTTTCTGAAAGCTTTTCCGCCTAGAAAAAAACTGGGAAATATTTTGGCAGAAGCATCTGCGTTTAATAGTGACCGTTGCAACACCTATGACGTGTACGAGAAACTGAAGAACCTGAGAGCCAATTGGGATGAAGCGGACATCATAATTATTGAACTGATTATTCACTGAATCCAAGAACAAGACGTCAGAATTATGGCAAGTAACAATTATTTTAAGATACCGATTTAATTGCATTTCTTGGGTCGGTTACGAAACGTGACGTAACCATAAATATTAGCAGCAATTATTCCGAGCCGGACCAACCGCCTCGTAGGCGATTTCGTGAAGATCGACAAACATTTCCACAAGAAAAAAATGTTTGGCATGTGGAAAGCAAGGTCACATTTAGAAGCACTGTCGACATAACACTTAAAATTTATCGAAAAAAGCATGCCTTCACAAGTTAAAGTTCCTAAAGCCAGAGCTACGAGTGGGCAACAACAGTCATGTAATTTTTGTGCAAAATCAGGCCACATTGCCGAAAATTGTTTTACACGACTACAAATAGAGAAGCGTAAAAGTGTTTATGTCTGCAGATCAGGATCCCTCATTAAGGCAATAAAAGTTAAAATTAATGTATACAATCTCTCTGGAATAATTGACACAGGAGCCGATATTTCGCTTATGTCTGATCGCTATCGTGTAAGTTCGAAGACCACATTAGAAACTGCAATTTAACAATAACTAGTTTCTTGCCTGGGAGTTTGCAGGCTAATTTTGAATTTACTGCAGTTGTTGTGTACTGCAGTATGCAATGTCCGTACGCAACTTCTTGATTTTGTATTCGTAACAGACTGTTTTTTGGACTTTGATGTAATCATTAGTCGCAATTTGTACAACGAAAAATAGGTGATTGTGACTGTGACTGGGAATTCCGGAACAGTGGTATTTCGCATGTGGCTGTACGTACTTTATGTACCAAGAGCGAACTTTCTGTAACAGTACCGAGTATGCATTGAAAAGCTATTTTGTATGTTTAATCAAAATTTACCAATATTTTTGCGAATGGAAATGCCGTTCCAGCATAAAATAACGCCTTTACAAATACAAATACGGTAAACCGAAATCCTTATCGGTTAACACCCAGCGAAAAGGAAGCAATAAGAGAGATTATAAATGACCTTTTGAAAAATAAAATTATCCAAAGTGATAGTGAATGTGCATTTGCCTATGTCCTATTCTGCTTGTCAGAAAGAACGAAGGAACATACCGAATGTGCGTAGATTTTCGAGAGCTTAATGCACACACTAGGAAAGACCGCTACTCGCTTCCTCTTATTGATGACCAATTCGATCGACTTGGAAAAGGAAAGTTTTTTACATCCTTGGATATGTCATCGGGTTTCCATCAAATACCGATAAAAACCTGCGGTTTTCCAATAATGTGTTCACAAGGCATTGGGTCCTTTAAAGGATTATGTTGCATTAGTATATCTGGATGAAATCCTTATCCCGTCGGTGAGCGTTGAAGAAGGAGTAACATTTTTATAAAACGCAGGTGTTTTTTTGAACATTAAGAAGTGTCACTTTTTACAAGGCAAGTTGGAGTATCTTGGCAGAGAAATTTCGGCAGAAGGAATACGTAATAGCGAAATACTCCATCCCCATCCACTATAAAGCAAGTGCGACAGTTCATGGGCCTTGCAGGTTATTTTCGCAAGTTTATACTAGATTTCGCTGGCAAGACCCTGGTAACCAAAGCAGTTAAGGAGCAATTAAGGCACTGGCCCACTGATTGGTCCTTATCAATGGACATGTGTGAATTGTTGAATCAGCTAAGACAATGATAAGAGGTGTATGTTTTGGGGTTAAAACCTGTAAATATTTTTGGGTTGAAAGCTAGACGCCTTGCAATTACAATATTATTGAAAGCTGGACGCTTTGCATAAATTTGAATTTTGAATATTGAGATAAGTTTTTTGAAAGCTTGACGCTTTGCAATGATAATATTGTTGAAAGCTGGACACTTTGAATAGGTACATTTTTTGAAAGCTAAACGCTTTGCAATGACAACATTGAAGAAAGCTGGAGGCTTTGAATATTTAAATAAATTTTTTGAATTTTGAATATTGAGATAAGTTTTTTGAAAGCTTGACGCTTTACAATGATAATATTGTTGAAAGCTGGACACTTTAAATACATTTTTTGAAAGCTAGACGCTTTGCAATGACAACATTGAAGAAAGCTGGAGGCTTTGAATATTAAAATAAATTTTTTGAATATTGAGATAAGTTTTTTGAAAGCTTGACGCTTTGCAATGATAATATTGTTGAAAGCTGGACACTTTGAATACATTTTTTTTAAAGCTAGACGCTTTGCAATGACAACATTAAAGAAAGCTGGAGGCTTTGAATATTGAAATAAATTTGTTGAAAGCTTGACGCTTTGCAAGGATAACATTAATGTTTAAAACTGGACGCTTTGCATATCTGTTATTAGCTAAAAGCTTGATTTTAGGAATTGTTTATTTTTAATATGACTTCAGACAACTATCCTCTGGAGAAGAATCACCTTAAAGATTCGTCCTAATGAAGTTGGTTTATGCTTCGAGAGCAAAGCTTTTGTCAGGATTGGCCGTGTTGGCGGTGGAATTAAAATAATTATTAGAAATATTAGTTTTGTTGTTTTCTTGTGTTTATTTGTCACGAACAATATTGTTATGTAAGCAGTTGATTTATGAACCGCAAGCAGTCGTTCGATTAGTCAGTCTTTATCCGTCACCTGTGTTGAGAAGCCGTTCGATAAATAAAATTTATTAAAGTGCATTGGTGGTGTTATTGCCTCTGTTACATTTTTGAGTTTTTTAATAATATACATTATACTAATACATAATACTACGAGTAATCAAAAACATTTCGAATATTTTCAGGTGTGATATAGCGAATATTGTTTGTGCTTGCTTTGAATACGTTTCGTATACTTAGTACAAGTGGGCACCAAGAGTACTATTCGCAACCACAACCAATATTCGCTATATCCAAAGTATTCGACATATATTTTTGAGTGTTATTTGAGTGGTATTTGGAGGACAAATTTATTTAACCAAAAATTTAAATTAAATGGCATCAAAATTAAAAACTATTCACCTCGTAGTACTATAGTACAATATTCGCGGAAATTTGTATTTGTCCAATATTCGCAGAATTACTTTTGATTGGTCAAAAATTGACAAATAATTAGTTAATAAAAGAAACCAATTAAAAAAATATAAAAAATATTTTTAATTTAAGAAAAAAGGTAAGTAAAAAATTACCCCACGCGGGGAAAACTGTTTTTTTTTAAATATACCTATAACTTATTGCTATATGTTTAGGATCTTTTACTAAACAATCAAGAAATTTGGGTATTTAGGAAGTTTTTGGTTTAGTTATGATTCCCAAAGTTTTTGTATAGCAATACATTTTTTTCTTAAAACAGTTTTCTCCGTGTACTTTTTTGTGATGAACTCCTTAGTACCTATGTTTAATAATTATTAAAGTTATAATATCATAAATAAATATTTTTCACATACATAATGATTTCTAATTAATTTTGATAGTCGGGTAGAATTTATCTCCATCTCTATTATTATCCACTAAATCCGGAGTGTCATAAGCTTCTCCCTTGAGATTGGAATTGGTCAGATCCATTAACCAGTCTCAAGATGATTTGATGTCACAAGCAAATTTGATGACAGAATATGATGCCTTACTTAATCCGTATGTCTTTGTATTATCAATATTTAGGGTAAGATTGTTTTTACTGATAATTATAACCTAGCTTGCTAAATATATTTACAGTAGTGATTTTTGGTTACTTTTATTGTTGTGCCTACACTCCCGGGATATAGGGTACACACATCTGTACACAACATTACATACTTCCCAGATCATATGTGATCATAACGGCCCTGTTTTGTTTGCTTAGTATACGAGAGGTATCGGGATTGATATCCATCCATAACTTTTTTACAAATAAAAAGTAAGAACCTAAATATTAATAAACAAATAAATATAAATGATGCTAAATTTTACACAACTTTACACAGCATATGTAATTGTTTTAAACTAATACTTTAATATTTCCTTTAGCTTTCCCTATTGTATTTGGTTTACTAATGTAACGTTTAAAATTTGACTACTTTTTGTAATTTGTCTAAATAAAAAAACTTTCCCTATCGTGTGGTTTTTTCCAGCAACCGCTGTTACAGTTGTATAATTTAAACTTTATTATTGTTAAAACTCACTACTATACTAAAATAAAATAAATAGTCATTTATTAGCATAATCTATTTTACAAAAATACAAATAATTATGAACAAACAAATTACATAGTCAAAATATCACAATACAAAGTTTTGTTTAACATAATTCATCACAAGTTTTCAACCCTATCACAGCTTTTTAATTCATTTGGGAGGCTATTAAATAATACCAAACCATTAAGAAAAACATTTTTTAATGTTTGCACCCTATCATAATTCCCCACATAAAAATACTCCTTGTATTGTAATTATGGACACTTTGTACTAAAATTAATTTGTTATTTAAATATGCAGGAAAAATTCCAGCCTTGACTTTAAATATAAATAATAATGTTTTAAAAACTACATACAGTTCACTTGCAATGATAGATTTTTTCCCATTCTACCAAGGAAATATACTTTTTTTTTAAATTTTATTTAGCAATGATTTTTTTAATTTAAATTTGAATTTTAAAACAACATCTGTAAAACCTATTTTATTAAGCTTTTTAAGCAATAATTCCCTATTTACAGTTTCGAAAGCTCGCTTAAAGTCCAAGAAAACAGAAATAATAATTTTACCCTGTGATTTTTTCTAAACCCTGATTGATTCTTTACAATTACACTATTATTTACACAATATTGATCAATCTGCTTTTTACGCATACTTCCAACACTTTTTCGTACGGCGCTACTGAGTTGATTGGTAGATATTCATTACACAAAATTGATCCACTAATTTTTGGTACTGGTACTACGATGGAAGTCTTCCATTCCTCTAGGAATACTGCAGTTTGGAGCGAAGTGTTAAATACATTCAGAAGCATATTTGCTGCAACAGCACACACATCTTTTTAATATAACAGTTGAAACTCCATCTCCTACATCAGCAGTATTTAAAGTGCCGC